CTCCCTTGGATCCCATGTTAAGTCCCGCAGCCTTGATGCCAGCCGGAACGGCCTGTATTGTCCTTCCCCCTTCTTTCCCCCTTCACACAACGCCACTGTTTCCACTGTCTCTCTTGCCAGCCTTCCCCTGGGGTCTCTTCCCTGTGTTCTGACTTCCTGCAGGGGTTCCCCCAGTCCATCGTATCCTGTTGTGACTTGCCACTCAGTAACTTCGAGCCTGTTGTCCGTCAGTACGTGTTCGACCCTGAACACCCTCTCAACCTTGTAATGCCCTTGATCCTCACCCATTCTCCCAGTGTTATTTCATCCCTCTTTAAGAGGTGCCGTTTCTGTTACTAGCACCGCCGATAATTTTGCCTGGACTTTGTTGGGTTCCTTGAGTTACTCCTTGTTCCGTCTGTTCCCCTATCGTGTCAAGGTCCCACAAAAGATCCTCCCTGGCCTTCTCTTCTCTTACTACGCTTGAGTCAGCTTGAGAGGGATAGCTTGGATTGTGGACGGGCTACCAGATTCTTTCCTTGTTCCCTTTGTCTGCCATCTGCTGTCAGTTGGCAGGGAGGAAATCATCTGGTTTGAATTGGGCCTCATTGTCTGTGTATTGCCAGATTCAACTGGTTCCTCCAGGTTGTCGTCAAACACCCAGCCATCATTAGGTCTTCAGGTTGTCATCGAACACCCATCGAACACGAGGTCGCCATTGAGGACGTCCAAACCAGTAGATCTCGGCCGTCTGTTCCGTCCGTGCCCTGACTGGTCAGCCACTGTGAAATGCCAGACCCAACTGGTTCCACCGGGTTGTCATCGAACACCCTGCCATCATTAGGTCTCCAGGTTGTCATCGAACACCCGTCGAACACGAGGTTGCCATCGAGGACGTCCAAACCAGTAGATCTCAGCTGTCTGTGTGGTCAGTGCCCTGGCTAGTCAGTGACTGTGGCATACTGTGTAGCCACACGGGCCTGCAGGGCCCGTCCTGCATTCTCAGCCTAAAAGCCTAGAAATAAGGGCTTACAGGCCCCCTGTCGTTTCAGCCTGAAAGACTGAAAACGAGGGCCTGCAGGCCCTATTTCGTTTTCAGCCTAAAACAGGGCTTTTCAGCCTGAAACGGAGGGCCACTTTCGGGCCCTCATAAGATCGACCTACCCTAACACTCAGCCACAAAACCAGGGTTTCGGGAACAGGCCATTTTTGGCCTGTTCCCACGACCGCCTCAGCAGGAGCTGCAGCGGCAGCCCTTGACTCCCTTTGGCATTGGCAAGAGCAGCCTCCTGGACTGCCTCGCCCTGCAGTCAGGAGGCAGGCCGAGTAGTACATAGGGAGTTCCCATGCACTTCACGGGTAGGTAGTTGGACAGAAAGCAGGAGTAGTCATCAGGATTCGGCCGCAGCACTCAGGAGGAGCGCTGCAGGAGTAGCTTAGCGCTAGCAGTAGTCTTCATCACTGGGCGCTAGTAGCCATAGCAGTAGTCTTCAGCGCTGGGCGCTAGTAGGTGGTAGTGGTAGTGTTTGGGAAAGACGGCTGGCGGAGGCCAGTGAGACTTACCTGTGGCGCCATAGCTCCAGCTCCATCTTCAAGGTACCTGCATCAAGGTGCCAACTTCACAGGTTAGTATCGGACTGAGAGAGAGAGAGAGAGAGTTCTTCTTCTTCCTCTTCTAAGTCCACCATCTCTTCTCACCCTCTCACCACCTGACTTCTCAGTATCAGCA